TTGACCTTCAACAAAAGACGTTTATTGTGCTAAAGGTTTGATGTCGTATATTGGCAGCGTGTTTACCCTGCACCTTTGCATGAGGATTCTGATCTAGATAAGATCCTCTGTTTGGCACAATCACTACAGAGAGCTCTGAGAGTCACTGACGCTGTGAGCTGAGAGAAAAACTGATCTAAAGATGAGAAGAGAGGACAAAAACACAAAATACATGATTGGGAAAACATGAGACCGAGGAACTAAACTCTAAAGTAGAACTGGTCGTGGTAAGAAGGGCAGGGATCGTTCAAAGCCGAAGTACATTATCGATAATAACACAAGTTGACAGCCAAAAAATGGTCAGGGGTTTCTCAGCTGATTCAGACTAATGTTGGTGTTCTGAGTCTGAATATCACATGCATTTGTCTCTATCAGGTCAACTGTGTGAGATACAGCCATAGTGTTACGGATTATGCACGTCTACGTTATTATGAATTCTGCTTATCAAATTTGATGGAGTAAATAAAAACGGAATGACTTTGGATACGTTGACTTTTATTTCTTGAGGAAAACGGAAAAAACGTCAAGGGTTTCTCAGCTGATGATCCGCAGAAATTTGTTTTTTACGCAAAATCGATTTAAAAAAAAATTTCTGTAGCAAAAAATCCTGACCTGATTGAGCAAAACCAAGGTCATTTTCGGACTCAGAGCCTCAAAATGAGTCTAATTCAGCTGAAAACCCTGGACTATTTTCAACAAATATTTTTTTGTTTCCCAGTGTAATCCAAGTGTGTGAGTAATATTTATTTATACAGCGCCTTTCACGGAGCAGAGAGTGGGCGTTTGTCTGTCACTCAGAGATGAACACGACAGAACTATTGTACATTATTATTAGGGCTGTCAAATGATTAATTTTTTTAATCGAGTTAATTACAGCTTAAAAATTAATTAATCGTAATTAATCACATTTCAAATATTGGCAAAATTATGCCATATTTTTCTGTAAATTGTTGTTTGAATGGAAAGATAAATGACAGCTTAGTGAACATATGAACTGTATTTGTTTGTTATAACAATAAATCCATATAAAATGGAATTACTGTAACATTATTAACATTCTGTCTTTCTGTTTAGACTCAGACCAAAACCATTGTTTGTTACAGATGAGGGACATTTCAAACAGTCTGAAGCAGAATGTCATTAAATCTGTTTGATTTGCTCACACCATTACTTTTTTGGCACAACTAACATGAACTGATGGTTGAAAGGAAAATTAGGTACCTCAGCTTTAATTTAGCGAGTGTGCTTCAGGAGAAGACACGGAGGAGACTGAGGCTCCTCCAGCTTCAGCGCTGTACATATTGTGTGCATCGGTTACACAAAGACACGTACGCACACTATAGAATAGTTCTGTAATAGTTCTGTGCGTGGTCTTGGATATGATCCCATTACGCAGCGCCGCTCGCCGTCATCACAGCCGCTGGAAGTGGGAACGGTCCAGAGCGCTGTGGCGCCCGCAGCTCATCATGCAGAGTTCATACAGGAAACAACAAGTGCCCCGCGGTCACGCGTGTGTTCTTTCAAAACTTGAATTCCCAGAGACCTGCTCTGTCCCATCTTACACACGCATGTGTCCGCGGCATTCTGAGTGTTATTATGGGACGCATGGGCATGCGTCAAATGCGTTAATTTTTTTAACGCGATTAATGAAAAAAATTAATTAACGTGCGTTAACGCGATAATTTTGACAGCCCTAATTATTATATATTGTTTATTACTAACCATTAACAATAATCTGGAGGTTTTTAACCCTTGTATTATGTTGAAAAAAAATGACATTGATTATGTTGCGGGTCATTTTGACCCGTACTGTGTAAATGCACTTAAAACAGTCAAAAAAACAGGTTAAACCAATAACAACTTTATTTTAGGTTATATAAATATTTAGAAAAGTGACATACAATACATTTTTCATTCCAACGCTATATTTAAGAATTATTTTGTCTAATCTTCTTTCCCTCCTCTCAGGAGGAGGGCAAGAATGACAATTCTTCCCTCCTTCTTTTCTCCTGCCATGCTTTCTCCTTCCTTTTTCTCATCCTGTTTTCCTTCTCTCTGTTCATCCTCCTCTATTCTCTTCTTTTCTCTTCCTTCCTTCCTGTCTCCCTTCTTTCCTTCCTCCCTTCCTTCCTCCCTTCTTCTTTCCTTGACAAAGATTCGTCCTCTGAATCCTCCTTATCGTAGGAAAATTGACAATCTGGATTGGTTTCTGAAATCTCTTCCTCTACATCATTATCCCAGTTAAAAATCTGTGATAAAGCCTCCTTAGATGTCATCCTTCTGGAGATCATTTTTGGTGAGTTTGTCTAAAGCCTAGCGTACATTGACAGAGTAACTGGAGACAACTAGTTGAAGGCGGCTTTTGGCAACTGAGAGTAGATGGAGATGATCAGTTGCTGAAATCGGTCGATGTGAGCGCTCTTACAACTGGAGATAAACAGTCGATCTCCAGTTTCAGTCAGTTGCCCATGTTGTACTTTTCGGCAACTAGTTGTCCTCAGTTTCGGAGATATCACTCGATGTGCGCGCTCCTAATAGATCATGGCGCGCTCCAACAACATGTGCGCATTGTGTGTATTGCGCCCTCTACAGTTTATGTCAGAATACACACTGTAGTTGAGGCCAGTTGCTGTCGATGTACGCGCTGTTATTCCCGAGACTGGGCTGCTACTAGGAGGTGCCCGTTTTTGCCAGATTGTCGATGTGTGCGGGGCAGCAACTCAAAGGCGATGGATATAATCAGTTGCCAGTCCGATGTACACTAGGCAAAAGAGATGACATAAGAACAGTCACAAGGACAAGTGTGAGAAAGTTCCCTCTCTTCACACACCTGGCTCTGAGTCTCAGAGGCAATCAAAATACAATGTCAAAGAGACATGTTTTTTTTGATCAGAACAACTATTTACCCACATTAAAGCGTCTGGGTCAAAATGACCCGCAACATCATCTTTGTATACAAACTCTGCACAGACATTCCACTACACATAAAAGTGTCCAGATTTTACACACCAGTTCATAACCCTAGATGAGGAAAAGTCACCAAATTTCAGCAAGAAAAAGAAAGGATTACAAGTACTTTGATCAACAAAAAAACTGAAATGGGTCAAATTGACCCTTAACATAATACAAGGGTTAAATCTAGTCTAAAAACACATTTGTGCTTTGGCTTTTAACACCAACTGAGTTTTACTGTTTTATATTTTACACATATCTTTGTGTATTTTATGCTGTTTTCATTTCTTTTTTTCTTGTGTGCCTGGGAAGCTCTTTGGGCAGCTGGTGTTTTTGTAAATGTGCTATGCAAATACAATTAAAATTATATTGTATTGAGTTCAGAGCAATATCTCAAAAAAACATCCTAAAGAAGATCTGCATGGAAGAATGGGCCAAAATACTTGCTACATGTGTGTGCTATCCTGGTGATGACTGGAAATGTTTGACGCTGTCTTTTCCAACAATGGTTACAACGGTGTTAAGTTCTACATCTGTTATTGGCCAAAACGTACTTCTACTTTACTACTATATCATGACGTTTTTACATTACCCCACATTCTGTCGCTCACAGTTGAAGTTAGCCTGTGATGGGACTTAAAGGAATAGTTCACCGTTTTTACATACTGACATATGTTCTTACCTTACCTTAGACTAGTTAATATGTACCTGTCTGGTCTTAGTCCGTGCGCTCTGTCATGCAAACGGAGCAAAAACGGGAGCACAAACGCAGCCTCCTCTGTATACTGTATAGTACCCAAAAGGTAGCTCCCGCTAGAAGCTACCAAACTCTTCCAAGTGTTCCCTATTAAGGGAAGTTAGTGCACGGACGTAGCGCTCCTCAGATTACTACGCCTCACAATATAGTACCCGTTTTATCCGCTGAGAAAATCGACAGTTACATTTCTGTGTTACTATACTTTGCAGTGTAACACGTCACGTAACTATATACATTTAATAGGGAACACTTGGAAGAGTTTGGTAGCTTCTAGCGGGAGCTACCTTTTGGGTCCTATACAGTATACAGAGGAGGCTGCGTTTGCGCTCCCGTTTTTGCTCCGTTTGCATGACAGAGCGCACGGACTAGGACCAGACAGGTACATATTAACTAGTCTAAGGTAAGGTAAGAACATATGTCAGTATGTAAAAACGGTGAACTATTCCTTTAAGGGCCTGCTTGTTTACTATTCTTGTGTTTTATTAAACTGGCCAGTAGGGGGCGCTTGAGCAGAGATGGGACAGTGTTGCTCCCATTGAAAACCATGTAAAGTCTGTTTTGGAGTCAAAGGCTCTCCTCCTGTGCAGTGTACGGTTGTTGGAACAGTCACTAACAAACACTAACAAATATTTCTCAAAAGAGTTTTGATTTCATTGATTGATTTGGTGCGTTTCATTGGGGTAGCCTGCAGGGGGCGCTTATCTGGGAAAGCCTTGATCCACCTCCGCCTCATTCCAGTGATTTTTTGTGTCCTCCTTTATATGAGACCACAGTTGGAACATGAACAAACTCTGTCTTTTCTCTATTTGTGCGGTTGCTACAAGCAAACACCGCACAAAAAGATGGTGTTTTGACAGCGCTTCTTCTTCTACTATATCTCTGTGTATAAACCACTTCTTCTTCTACTATATCTCCGTGTATAAACCACTTCTTCTTCTACTATATCTCCGTGTATAAACCTCTTCTTCTTCTACTATATCTCTGTGTATAAACCCGGCAGACTGCACCGCCAGGGTACGTCACGTCCTGTCCTACGTTTGTTATTCACTACTGCCCTGACGTCAGATGAAACCCTAGAATACTGAGGTTTTTTGCACAATACCAACACAGAGCCTCCACACAGAGTGACCTCAGACCGTGGCCTCGCATGAGCCTGGATCCTCGGTGTTTGTGTCCGTGCTGCTGAAGTATTCTTGGCAAGATAAGAGTCGGGGCCAATTATCGGAGGGCAGTGCCAGGCGTCGCGAGCCAAATGACTGTGGACACTTTCTTTAACCACCCGCTCCTCGGCTGTCAGACCGAGAGCAGAGGGAAGACAAGATGGTGGATGTGGCAAGTCCAAGCCATTGTCACATCAGTAGTGAGAGAGTCTGAAGGTAAAGGAGACAGTAGTGAGAGAGTCTGAAGGTAAAGGAGACAGTAGTGAGAGAGTCTGAAGGTAAAGGAGACAGTAGTGAGAGAGTCTGAAGGTAAAGGAGACAGTAGTGAGAGAGTCTGAAGGTAAAGGAGAGAGTAGCAAGAGAGTCTGAAGGTAAAGGAGACAGTAGTGAGAGAGTCTGAAGGTAAAGGAGACAGTAGCGAGAGAGTCTGAAGGTAAAGGAGACAGTAGTGAGAGAGTCTGAAGGTAAAGGAGACAGTAGTGAGAGAGTCTGAAGGTAAAGGAGACAGTAGTGAGAGAGTCTGAAGGTAAAGGAGACAGTAGTGAGAGAGTCTGAAGGTAAAGGAGACAGTAGTGAGAGAGTCTGAGGGTAAAGGAGACAGTAGTGAGAGAGTCTGAAGGTAAAGGAGACAGTAGTGAGAGAGTCTGAGGGTAAAGGAGACAGTAGTGAGAGAGTCTGAGGGTAAAGGAGACAGTAGTGAGAGAGTCTGAGGGTAAAGGAGACAGTAGCGAGAGAGTCTGAAGGTAAAGGAGACAGTAGCGAGAGAGTCTGAAGGTAAAGGAGACAGTAGCGAGAGAGTCTGAAGGTAAAGGAGACAGTAGCGAGAGAGTCTGAAGGTAAAGGAGACAGTAGTGAGAGAGTCTGAAGGTAAAGGAGACAGTAGTGAGAGAGTCTGAAGGTAAAGGAGAGAGTAGTGAGAGAGTCTGAAGGTAAAGGAGACAGTAGTGAGAGAGTCTGAAGGTAAAGGAGACAGTAGCGAGAGAGTCTGAAGGTAAAGGAGAGAGTAGCAAGAGAGTCTGAAGGTAAAGGAGACAGTAGCAAGAGAGTCTGAAGGTAAAGGAGACAGTAGTGAGAGAGTCTGAAGGTAAAGGAGACAGTAGCAAGAGAGTCTGAAGGTAAAGGAGACAGTAGTGAGAGAGTCTGAAGGTAAAGGAGACAGTAGTGAGAGAGTCTGAAGGTAAAGGAGACAGTAGTGAGAGAGTCTGAAGGTAAAGGAGACAGTAGCGAGAGAGTCTGAAGGTAAAGGAGACAGTAGTGAGAGAGTCTGAAGGTAAAGGAGACAGTAGTGAGAGAGTCTGAAGGTAAAGGAGAGAGTAGCAAGAGAGTCTGAAGGTAAAGGAGACAGTAGCAAGAGAGTCTGAAGGTAAAGGAGACAGTAGTGAGAGAGTCTGAAGGTAAAGGAGACAGTAGTGAGAGAGTCTGAAGGTAAAGGAGACAGTAGTGAGAGAGTCTGAAGGTAAAGGAGACAGTAGCGAGAGAGTCTGAAGGTAAAGGAGACAGTAGTGAGAGAGTCTGAAGGTAAAGGAGACAGTAGTGAGAGAGTCTGAAGGTAAAGGAGACAGTAGTGAGAGAGTCTGAAGGTAAAGGAGACAGTAGTGAGAGAGTCTGAAGGTAAAGGAGACAGTAGTGAGAGAGTCTGAAGGTAAAGGAGACAGTAGTGAGAGAGTCTGAAGGTAAAGGAGAGAGTAGCAAGAGAGTCTGAAGGTAAAGGAGACAGTAGTGAGAGAGTCTGAAGGTAAAGGAGACAGTAGCAAGAGAGTCTGAAGGTAAAGGAGACAGTAGTGAGAGAGTCTGAAGGTAAAGGAGACAGTAGCGAGAGAGTCTGAAGGTAAAGGAGACAGTAGCAAGAGAGTCTGAAGGTAAAGGAGACAGTAGTGAGAGAGTCTGAAGGTAAAGGAGACAGTAGTGAGAGAGTCTGAAGGTAAAGGAGACAGTAGTGAGAGAGTCTGAAGGTAAAGGAGAGAGTAGTGAGAGAGTCTGAAGGTAAAGGAGAGAGTAGTGAGAGAGTCTGAAGGTAAAGGAGAGAGTAGTGAGAGAGTCTGAAGGTAAAGGAGACAGTAGTGAGAGAGTCTGAAGGTAAAGGAGACAGTAGCGAGAGAGTCTGAAGGTAAAGGAGACAGTAGTGAGAGAGTCTGAAGGTAAAGGAGACAGTAGTGAGAGAGTCTGAAGGTAAAGGAGACAGTAGTGAGAGAGTCTGAAGGTAAAGGAGACAGTAGTGAGAGAGAGGAGAGAGACTTGGATTCACTCGGTCTGGAGCCTGGAGAGACTTGGACCGAGCCCAGCGGGTTTAAAGAGGCCTGGGCTCTTCAGAGGCTACAAGTCTCTCAGTGTTTGAGTCTACAGAATGGACCACAGAGATTTCATTCAAGCAGCTGTCTCATTCAGAGCAAAGATAAGACGTTAGGCTCCGAACAAGTCCAAGTCAAGTTTGTTTTTGAAGTGTAAATGTCAGATTTGGCGTGGCTTCTGTGGCACATGTGGGGCCTTCTGCCGGAGCTCGACTGTAGATACATCCATCCATCACACTGTATTCGGAGATTCCTTGACAACACAGAAAGACACCAAAGTGCAGTAAAATCAAAGCAATCAAATACATTTAAGATTCACAAACTAAAGTTGAACAAAAATGCACCATTGAAGCTTGTAGATTTAAGAACCTTTTTTAAAACAGAAATACTGTATAATCTACAGTATTTCTTGGTTATTTAAATGCATTATTTTAATAACCGGCGCCGATCCATTGGACACACCAGGACATGGCTCTCCTCCGGTCAAAGGCTCCGGAGGCTCAGGGCACAAACAGCTCCGTCATGCTTTAGGAATGACAACTTCACGACTCCCACTGATGTCTGCTGTTGTTGTGTCCTTGGGCAAGACACTTAACCCCCCTTTGCCTGAAGCCCCCCACTGAAAGACATCAGCTCCTGTGGACTCAGCACCTACAGGAGGATCAGTGAGGGGCTGGTGCTCTGACTGCCACCCCCCTGACCCAGAAATGGATTAAGGGGAAGAAGCATTATTTCTCTTGCTGCCTCCTTGGTCGTCTTCATACATATGATGCGTGACCCCGAGAGCGGCCGTCATGCTGCACTTTGAAGCGATGACCTTTATAATGAAGTCAAGTAAAAGAACAGGTGAAAATCAACATGACATTGTTATCCTCCAGGTCGCCGCCATCGTTTCTTCTGTCGCTTCAGATCAGGATTCAACGTCATGTCATTTTCTACCCCTTTATTAGCCCATTTCTGAGTCAGGGAGGTGACAATCAGAGCTGCCCAAGTCTCAAAGCACCAGTCCCTCTGATCCTCTGCAGGTGGGGGGGTCCACAGGAAGATGGCTGCTCCGTGATCGAAGAAAAGGCCTTGATCTTTCAGCGGGGGCTTCAGACAAAGTGGGGTTAAGTGACGACAGCAGACATCAGTGGGAGCAGGTGATATGGGTCATGGTGGACTCGAACCCATGACCAGTACGTCCAAAGACCAGTGCTCTACCAACTGAGCTACTGTCGCCCAGGATTGACCGTGTGCATGAAAACATTTTTGATATTCTGCACACGCAATAAAATGGATACAGCTTTTCGATATTGAATGAAATAATTGTATGTTTTGTTTTCGTGTTCACTTCGGTAATCTACATCTAAGGTTTATGTTCTTCTATGACAGGGGTCTCCAACCTGTAGCTCTCCAGCCCCTTTCAGGTAGCTCCCCAAAGGATTTAGAATTCAATGCATGATCCTGAATGATTCAATGAGAAAGTTAGGGTTTTACAGTGTTATGGTATTTTACAAGTGTTTTCCATGTTTTATCATAATTATTTCATAGATTTGTATTATGACTGCTAACAGGAGTAGCTCTCTGCCTCTACTGTTGTATAAAAGTAGCTCTTTGATTAGAAAAGCTTGGAGACCCCTGCTCTATGATGTCTGCCTGTTGTGAGTCTAGTGTGTTGTATGTGATTAATGTAAGTGTTGTGTTGGGAGCTCACCGTTTATGTGTAACCGCCGGAGCTTTGGGGACGGAGCTTAGGCCACTGCAGCCCCCCCCCGCTGGACCTCACTCCCACTGCAGCCCCCCCCGCTGGACCTCACTCCCACTGCAGCCCCCCCGCTGGACCTCACTCCCACTGCAGCCCCCGCCCTCTGGACCTCACACCCACTGCAGCCCCCGCCCTCTGGACCTCACTCCCACTGCAGCCCCAACTCTCTGGACCTCACTCTCCACTGCTGCCCCCGCCCTGGACCTCACTCCCACTGCTGGCCCAGCCCTCTGGACCTCACTCCCACTGCAGCCCCCGCCCTCTGGACCTCACTCCCACTGCTGGCCCAGCCCTCTGGACCTCACTCCCACTGCAGCCCCCGCCCTCTGGACCTCACTCCCACTGCAGCCCCCGCCCTCTGGACCTCACACCCACTGCTGCCCCAGCCCTCTGGACCTCACTCCCACTGCAGCCCCCGCCCTCTGGACCTCACACCCACTGCAGCCCCCGCCCTCTGGACCTCACACCCACTGCAGCCCCCGCCCTCTGGACCTCACTCCCACTGCAGCCCCCGCCCTCTGGACCTCACTCCCACTGCAGCCCCAACTCTCTGGACCTCACTCCCACTGCAGCCCCAGCCCTCTGGACCTCACTCCCACTGCAGCCCCAACTCTCTGGACCTCACTCCCACTGCAGCCCCCCCCGCTGGACCTCACTCCCACTGCAGCCCCCGCCCTCTGGACCTCACACCCACTGCAGCCCCCGCCCCCCTCTGGACCTCACTCCCACTGCAGCCCCAGCCCTCTGGACCTCACTCCCACTGCAGCCCCCCCCCGCTGGACCTCACTCCCACTGCAGCCCCCGCCCTCTGGACCTCACACCCACTGCAGCCCCCGCCCCCCTCTGGACCTCACTCCCACTGCAGCCCCCGCCCTCTGGACCTCACTCCCACTGCAGCCCCAGCCCTCTGGACCTCACTCCCACTGCTGGCCCAGCCCTCTGGACCTCACTCCCACTGCAGCCCCCGCCCTCTGGACCTCACTCCCACTGCAGCCCCCGCCCTCTGGACCTCACACCCACTGCAGCCCCAACTCTCTGGACCTCACTCCCACTGCTGCCCCAGCCCTCTGGACCTCACTCCCACTGCTGCCCCAGCCCTCTGGACCTCACACCCACTGCAGCCCCCGCCCTCTGGACCTCACACCCACTGCAGCCCCCGCCCTCTGGACCTCACACCCACTGCAGCCCCCGCCCTCTGGACCTCACACCCACTGCAGCCCCCCCCCTCTGGACCTCACACCCACTGCAGCCCCCGCCCTCTGGACCTCACACCCACTGCAGCCCCCGCCCTCTGGACCTCACACCCACTGCAGCCCCCCCCCTCTGGACCTCACACCCACTGCAGCCCCCGCCCTCTGGACCTCACACCCACTGCAGCCCCCGCCCTCTGGACCTCACACCCACTGCAGCCCCCCCCCTCTGGACCTCACACCCACTGCAGCCCCCGCCCTCTGGACCTCACACCCACTGCAGCCCCCGCCCTATGGACCTCACTCCCACTGCAGCCCCCGCCCTCTGGACCTCACACCCACTGCAGCCCCCGCCCTCTGGACCTCACTCCCACTGCAGCCCCCGCCCTCTGGACCTCACACCCACTGCAGCCCCCGCCCTCTGGACCTCACTCCCACTGCAGCCCCAACTCTCTGGACCTCACTCCCACTGCAGCCCCAGCCCTCTGGACCTCACTCCCACTGCAGCCCCAGCCCTCTGGACCTCACTCCCACTGCTGGCCCCGCCCTCTGGACCTCACTCCCACTGCTGGCCCAGCCCTCTGGACCTCACTCCCACTGCAGCCCCAGCCCTCTGGACCTCACTCCCACTGCTGGCCCCGCCCTCTGGACCTCACTCCCACTGCTGGCCCAGCCCTCTGGACCTCACTCCCACTGCAGCCCCAGCCCTCTGGACCTCACTCCCACTGCTGGCCCAGCCCTCTGGACCTCACTCCCACTGCAGCCCCCGCCCTCTGGACCTCACTCCCACTGCAGCCCCCGCCCTCTGGACCTCACACCCACTGCAGCCCCAACTCTCTGGACCTCACTCCCACTGCTGCCCCAGCCCTCTGGACCTCACTCCCACTGCTGCCCCAGCCCTCTGGACCTCACACCCACTGCAGCCCCCGCCCTCTGGACCTCACACCCACTGCAGCCCCCGCCCTCTGGACCTCACACCCACTGCAGCCCCCGCCCTCTGGACCTCACACCCACTGCAGCCCCCCCCCTCTGGACCTCACACCCACTGCAGCCCCCGCCCTCTGGACCTCACACCCACTGCAGCCCCCGCCCTCTGGACCTCACACCCACTGCAGCCCCCCCCCTCTGGACCTCACACCCACTGCAGCCCCCGCCCTCTGGACCTCACACCCACTGCAGCCCCCGCCCTCTGGACCTCACACCCACTGCAGCCCCCCCCCTCTGGACCTCACACCCACTGCAGCCCCCGCCCTCTGGACCTCACACCCACTGCAGCCCCCGCCCTCTGGACCTCACACCCACTGCAGCCCCCGCCCTCTGGACCTCACACCCACTGCAGCCCCGCCCTCTGGACCTCACTCCCACTGCAGCCCCGCCCTCTGGACCTCACTCCCACTGCAGCCCGCCCTCTGGACCTCACACCCACTGCAGCCCTCTGGACCCCACCCCCCCTCTGGACCTCACACCCACTGCAGCCCCCGCCCTCTGGACCTCACTCCCACTGCAGCCCCCGCCCTCTGGACCTCACACCCACTGCAGCCCCCGCCCTCTGGACCTCACACCCACTGCAGCCCCCGCCCCCCCTCTGGACCTCACTCCCACTGCAGCCCCCGCCCTCTGGACCTCACTCCCACTGCAGCCCCAACTCTCTGGACCTCACTCCCACTGCAGCCCCCGCCCTCTGGACCTCACACCCACTGCAGCCCCCGCCCTCTGGACCTCACTCCCACTGCAGCCCCCCCCTCTGGACCTCACTCCCACTGCAGCCCCCGCCCTCTGGACCTCACACCCACTGCAGCCCCGCCCCCCCTCTGGACCTCACTCCCACTGCAGCCCCCGCCCTCTGGACCTCACTCCCACTGCAGCCCCCGCCCTCTGGACCTCACTCCCACTGCAGCCCCCCCCCTCTGGACCTCACACCCACTGCAGCCCCCGCCCTCTGGACCTCACTCCCACTGCAGCCCCCGCCCTCTGGACCTCACTCCCACTGCAGCCCCCGCCCTCTGGACCTCACACCCACTGCAGCCCCCGCCCTCTGGACCTCACACCCACTGCAGCCCCCGCCCCCCCTGGACCTCACACCCACTGCAGCCCCCGCCCTCTGGACCTCACACCTACTGCAGCCCCCCCCCCTCTGGACCTCACACCTACTGCAGCCCCCGCCCTCTGGACCTCACACCCACTGCAGCCCCCGCCCTCTGGACCTCACTCCCACTGCAGCCCCCCCCCTCTGGACCTCACACCTACTGCAGCCCCCCCCCTCTGGACCTCACACCCACTGCAGCCCCCGCCCTCTGGACCTCACACCCACTGCAGCCCCCGCCCTCTGGACCTCACTCCCACTGCAGCCCCCGCCCTCTGGACCTCACACCCACTGCAGCCCCCGCCCCCTCTGGACCTCACTCCCACTGCAGCCCCCGCCCTCTGGACCTCACTCCCACTGCAGCCCCCGCCCTCTGGACCTCACTCCCACTGCAGCCCCAACTCTCTGGACCTCACTCCCACTGCAGCCCCCGCCCTCTGGACCTCACACCCACTGCAGCCCCCGCCCCCCTCTGGACCTCACTCCCACTGCAGCCCCCGCCCTCTGGACCTCACTCCCACTGCAGCCCCCCCCCTGGACCTCACACCCTGCAGCCCCCGCCCTCTGGACCTCACTCCCACTGCAGCCCCCGCCCTCTGGACCTCACACCCACTGCAGCCCCCGCCCTCTGGACCTCACTCCCACTGCAGCCCCCGCCCTCTGGACCTCACACCCACTGCAGCCCCCGCCCTCTGGACCTCACACCCACTGCAGCCCCCGCCCCCCCTCTGGACCTCACACCCACTGCAGCCCCCGCCCTCTGGACCTCACACCCACTGCAGCCCCCGCCCTCTGGACCTCACTCCCACTGCAGCCCCCGCCCTCTGGACCTCACACCCACTGCAGCCCCCGCCCCCCCTCTGGACCTCACACCCACTGCAGCCCCCGCCCTCTGGACCTCACACCCACTGCAGCCCCCGCCCTCTGGACCTCACTCCCACTGCAGCCCCCGCCCTCTGGACCTCACACCCACTGCAGCCCCCGCCCCCCCTCTGGACCTCACTCCCACTGCAGCCCCCGCCCTCTGGACCTCACTCCCACTGCAGCCCCCGCCCTCTGGACCTCACTCCCCCTGCCCGTCACAAACTCACTACCAAACATCTAATCAGTCTCAAAACCCATCTGTTCAAACAAGCATTTTCGTATTTTATTTTTTCTAGTCCCTGAAAAAGCGCTTTACAAGTTTCATGTGTTATATTATTATTACTACTTGAGGTCGCCTTCAGAGTATAATGATGTCTCGTCTGTGCTGATTTTTCAAGGATAACGTTTTTGCACTTCCCTCTTCAGTGTTTGCTTCAGTTCATGTGCAGACCATAACAAATGTCACTTTGAGTTAAGTCTTATTTTCCTCAATATGTGAAATGCCTTTGAATATAATGAAGGACATGAATTACATTATATCACAGAATCAAATCACAACAATATTGGATTGTGACCAAAATTTAGTAATAATTATAATGTATTTAAAAGCGTCTTTCAAAACACCTAAGGACACTGTACAGAAAGGTTAAAAACAGGATGCAATTTTAAAACATTATCATTCAAAACAGAAGTGTCAGAGTGAGCGGTCGTGTGACTGGTCATGTAAGTAAGTAAGTAAGCTTTATTTATATACCGCCTTTCCCAGACCAGAGTCTCAAAGCGGTTTACAATTGTTATTTTTGGGCACTTGTCTCTCACTCCACACAGAGATGGGAGCGGGGTCGCCGAACAGGAGGCGCATGCCAGATCTATTGTACATATTTTTAGTGGTAGGGGAAACCGGAGTACCCGGAGGAAACCTACGCAGACACGGGGAGAACATGCAAACTCCACTCAGAAAGGCCCTGGTCCGGCCGGGATTCGAACCCAGGACCTTCTTGCTGAGAGGCGAGAGTGCTATCCACTCAGCCACTGTGCCGCATGTGGGGAAAGAAAGTCTGAAAAGGTGAGTTTTGAGTCTGGATTCGAGCAGGGGAAGAGAGACGTGTTGCAGAGGTCAAAATATTGCAATAACATCCAATTGTCACATCTTTGCCACTTCCCGCTCTTATCAAAACTACAGTTATATGTCACAGATTATAGTTAACAGACTGTCGTTCCCCACAGTGTTTCTTGTGTGCTCTCGGCCTCCAGCTCTCGCCCCCTGGAGGCCTTCCCGCTGCACTGCACACAGAGGCCGGGGCTCATTGCCTTTAGAGCGGCTGCAGAGCTGATGCTGCTGCAGTAATGTTGTGATCGTCGTTTGTTTACCAGCACCGATCCATTGGACACACCAGGACATGGCTCTCCTCCAGTCAAAGGCTCCGGAGGCTCAGGGCACAAACAGCTCCGTCATGCTTTAGGAATGACAAGTAAACAGATGCCACAACACCCACAAGGCACTGCTGGATGAACACTCTCTCTCTGTGATACATACAGGGATCGCAAATGTCCGATAATAAAAACAGTTCTCAAACGCATTCAGCTCTCCCCACGTGAACAGAAGGACTTAGTTAATGTTGTCAGCAGCAGGTCCAAGCCTTTAGTACTGTTAGGAAGTCACCTTTTTATACAGCGCCCATGAAAGTGCTTTAACATTGTTGTGGGCATTTGCGATCACTCCACACATAGAAGCGGGGTTACATACAGGAGGCACAAGCCAGACCGATTGTTTTAGTGGTAGAGGAAACCGGAGCACCTGGAGGGAACCTACGCAGACACAGAAAGCCCTGGAGGTGGAATCAAACCCAGGACCGTCTTGCTGTGAAGTGCCACTGTGCTCCTTTAAACAGTAATCACATCATTAGAACCATATTTTTGTCTATTTCAAACTATAGTAAGTGATTTTACGCTACATTTATTTTAACGTTCTTAAAACACGTCAATCCGTTAAGAGAAAAGGAGAAAAAAATCTTTGGAAATCTTTTATTCCACTTACAATTACACACTACGGGAGAGCAAAGTCAATACCATATTTTCTAAGAACAGACATTTTCTAGATTGTTCTAGATCAGGGATGTCAGAGTCAAATACCTCAGAGGCCAAAAAAACACATTTGCTTCAAGCTGAGGGTTGGACTGGTTCAAAGTTTGTTAAAACATATTAAAATGATGCATAAAACCTGTTGAAGCAAGACCTAAGACATCGGACCGTGTTTTATTTGGGTAAAGGTAAATGTAAATGTGCACTTTATTAATCCCCGTAGGACAATCCATCCTCTGCATTTGACCCAGATGCTCTAAGGCTTACGTCAGGAGCAGTCGTCGCCGTAGTAACAGCGCCCGGGAACCCAGCTCCAGATGTTGATGCTCTGGGTCAGAACCAGAGCTGGAGGATTGAACCTAGTGAGCATGTTTTTAGTGGTAGGGGAAACCGGAGCACCTGGAGGAAACCTACACAAGTGCGTAAATGAAAAATCCAATATTTTCTTATGACTCTGTGCGGCCGGTTCTAATACTAATCAAATATCATGCAGGGGCCAAGAAAATTAATTTGTAGGCCGTATCTGGCCCACAGGCCTTGAGTAAGAATGACATATTTTCTTTTTCAGGGGTTTTTTAAATACTCACCAAGTAATAGTTTATTCCGTATTCTGGTTATTCCGATTCATTTTGTATTTTTCATTTCTTTTTAGAATCTTGAAAAATGTCTTTGTCCAACTGCGCAGTGACCAAACGTGCTGTATCCATGAACTGTTTTGTAAATGGGCTGTGAAATGTGAAAAGAGAGTTCCTCGGGGAAGAGTCCGTAATGACGAGTGGCGTGGTGGAAATGAGCTCCTGCAGGCTGCTCTGTGGCTCATGTGGCCTGCTTCTCTTTCACAGGATGGTGGAGTACTCTCTGGACCTGCAGAACATCAACCTGTCGGCCATCCGCACCGTCAGGGTCCTGCGGCCGCTCAAAGCCATCAACCGCGTCCCCAGTAAGTGACCACCAACCTCCCATTACACAGAAGGGAAAACGTCCAACTGGATCCATGGCTTTGAAGCGCCACGTTTTACTGCAGAGAAAACACTGCTGAACATGACAGTACTGACACTATGGGACATACCTGCAGGTGAAAGTCAGACCTCTGAAGCTAAGCAGGACAGGGATTGGTCAGTACTGTGATGGGAGACCTCTGAGAGCCAAAGTGGTGAGGCTATAGACTTTTGTGTCCTTAGGCAAGACACTTCACCCACATTAGAATGAGTCCGGTGTGTGTGTGAAACAGGCTGCTTGTGCAAGTCTTAAAAGTCTTAATAAGTATGGAATTTTGACTGTTTTTCAGACCTTGAAAAGTCTTGAATTGTGTGTTAAAGTCTTAATAAAGTATGGAAAAAAATGTATGGTTAAAAAAATTATAATTCTAATAAACAAAGTTGGAACAATGTCAACCAATGAAGTAGGCAGTAACACAAGGATACAAGGACGTACAGTTAAGGTCTTGGGGAAAAAATATCAGTTTTAAAAAGCACCGGTGAATGGTTGGTGGTGGTGGGAGGGGCCGATGGCATAGACTGGTTGCCTCGCTTCTGTCAGTGTGCCCCAGGGCAGCTGTGGCTACAGTAGTTTATCACCACCGTGTTTGGAGGGAAAGAAGAGAGACTTTGAGAGTCAGAAAAGCGCTGAATAAAACTGATGCATAACACAAGTTGACAGCCAAAAAATGGTCAGGGGTTTCTCAGCTGATTCAGACTAATGTTGGTGTTCTGAGTCTGAATATCACATGCATTTGTCTCTATCAGGTCAACTGTGTGAGATACAGCCATAGTGTTACGGATTATGCACGTCTACGTTATTATGAATTCTGCTTATCAAATTTGATGGAGTAAATAAAAACTGAATGACTTTTATTTCTTGAGGAAAACGGAAAAAACGTCAAGGGTTTCTCAGCTGATGATCCGCAGAAATTTGTTTTTTACGCAAAATCAATAAAAAAAGTATTTCTGTAGCAAAAAATCCTGACCTGATTGAGCAAAACCAAGGTCATTTTCGGATCAAAATTAGTCTAATTCAGCTGGAAAACCCTGGACTTTTTTCAAAAAATATGTTTTTGTTACCCAGTGTTATTATTGATATTATTATTACCATTATTATTATTATTATTATTATTATATGTAAAAAGCCAAGAACGGCATTATAGAATGTACAGTATTGTTGGATGGATTTTATTAATATGAATAGACTGAATCCGTATTTTCCGAGACCCCGGGAGAAGGTCTACTTTAAAACCCCAATGCATCGAACAAACTCAATACATTTCTTTCTAAAACACTTCTTGAGTCTTTCCAGATTCATTTATTTTGATGCAGTATTGTTTGGTCAAATGTGTCCCTTTGTCTCTGTGGGTGTTTACTTCAAAAGCCTCATTCTGTGTCATTGTTCCAGTGTTTGGATTCCTGTTAGGTGCAGTAAAGTGTTAGAAATGAAAGGTTTGGGACAGTATTTCAGCTTTTCAGAGGAAAAGGGTGTCATGAAAAAGCCGGGGGTGTGTGGACCCTTCTCTCCTCCTCAAATACACAATCTTCATTCTCTTTAACACCTTTCATAAAAGAGAGCCCTGTGAGTCACTCTGGTACTCTTTGGACTGAGAGATTAAATCAATCATAGACAAATTAAAGTGGCAGTATGTAAGATTTCAATGTCAAATCATCTTTAAATGGCCCTAATCTGTCATCATTAAAGGGCCCTAATCTGTCATCATTAAAGGGCCCTAATCTGTCATCATTAAAGGGCCCTAATCTGTCATCATTAAAGGGCCCTAATCTGTCATCATTAAAGGGCCCTAATCTGTCATCATTAAAGGGCCCTAATCTGTCATCATTAAAGGGCTCCAATCTGTCATCATTAAGGGGCCCTAATCTGTCATCATTAAAGGGCCCTAATCTGTCATCATTAAAGGGCCATAATCTGTCATCATTAAAGGGCCCTAATCTGTCATCATTAAAGGGCCCTAATCTGTCATCATTAAAGGGCCATAATCTGTCATCATTAAAGGGCCCTAATCTGTCATCATTAAAGGGCCATAATCTGTCATCATTAAAGGGCCATAATCTGTCATCATCAAAGGGCGCTAATCTGTCATCGTTAAAGGGCCCTAATCTGTCATCATTAAAGGGCTCTAATCTGTCATCATTTAAGGGCCCTAATCTGTCATCATTAAAGGGCCCTAATCTGTCATCATTAAAGGGCCCTAATCTGTCATCATTAAAAGGCCCTAATCTGTCATAATAATAATCTGCTCTTTTCCAATACTTCTTTAACTGATAACAGTAGTTCAGAGATATTTGAATTTCTAAATTACTTTTCCAGCCTCTAAATCTTGTTATTGTTTTCATTTCGATGTCCCGCCCTCCACCGTTTCACCAATCAGAAAGTCTGATCCGGGCGCCAGAACTCACCGCGTGGAGCTAATCTCACTGGTAAAGTACCATGTGGAGCTAATCTCACTGGTAAAGTACCATGTGGCGCAGAACTAAAAAAGGTCTCGTTATGATTCTCAAATCATTAACGACAAAACAAGGAATAAAAGCAGGATTTCTATCTTTGTGAAAAAGGTGTTGGTTATAGATTTGTTGTTGACTAAACTCTTGTCTATTCAGCTGTTATGGTCCCAGCTGGATTCGTCTGCATATCTGGCAACCTGAGTCAGGGAGAGAGGGAGAGGCTGCAGTACCACTTTGGGCCACATGTTTACACACTGCTCCTTTTGAGAGGCAAAGCGATCACAATTCAACTTATTTGTATTTCCCTAAATCACAAGAGTAGTTTTCTCAGAGGACTTTAGAAAGTTGTCGCCAACACAGATCAGAGAATCAAACACATAGAGCCATTGGTCCATAAGCGGCAGAGACCAATGTCTATATAAGTTAATAAATATCCATAAATGTTGTTAAATGTCGAGTGTCCTGGATCATCACCACCGTCCTTACACCCTCCTGAAGTTTAAATTAAAATAATATACAGATTTATCCCACCATCATCCAGATAAAACACAGCCTCCTTCTTGCGTCCGCTCCAGACCAGACTCGGAGAGAGCAATCCGATTTCGCAAAGCGTTCATTTATGCCGTTTCACTCATCAGTTCGTGACCACAATCTCCTTCTTTTCATCCCATCTCTCCTTCTCCACAGACTTTGTAACTCCAATCGATTTCCGTGTCCGAAAAGCTCCAATTAGAGCAGCCGAGCCTCCCGCGTCAATCCCATCGCTTTGCTTTCCCAGGAATTAGCAGTTCCGCCTAATTACATCTACTGTCAAAATGTCCGTTTTTGGCAGAGTTTCACCAATTAGCACCAGAACAGAACCAAACACCTCAACGTGATATTTAGTGTTTTGTTTTCTTCTTTGACTCTGTTCTCAAAGGACAGATGAAGAGGAAACAATTGAAAAGGCAACATGTATCTGTGTCTGTTTATTGTTGCTTACATGTGGGTCTAGCCTGGTCTTACCACACCATAGTACTAATTTAATTCCGTACTAAGGTCTGGATTTGCTCTATAGACTTCGGTTAACAAGTGCGAGGGGGTAACTCCTTTTGCAGATTGAAACGATTGGATTTGAGTTTACCGTAAATTATGTAGAGAGCCCGAGTGAGTTGTTAGCATTTAGCATGTAGCCTAGCTTTAGCCATCTCCTTTGCCGCTAACGGAGCCTGTGGGGAGTAGAGCCACCACATCTCAATGACATTTGTTAAACATTCCTCTTGCTCCGGCTTCAGTTTTTTGATGTTTGGATTGAACCAGAACAGAAGTAGGAATGAGAAGAAGTGAACAATAACTACTAAAATAAAATAAGATAAAATCATTTAAATGTATTTTCTCTGGATATTTATGTATTTAATAATGCTCTAAAACAATGAACCCAAAACATTTATCAGTAAGAATTTGTCAAAAACATGAATCTGTAAATTTGGTCCATTATGGTTCGGTCTGAAACCCTTTGTCAATAAAATAATTGGTTCAAACAAAACAAAAGCCGCAGATGCTATTTTTTAAATTTTTTGTATTTATTGTTAATTTATTTGGGACCGTAATATCATAAACACACTCCATCACCCTGAACTACTGTACACACAGTTAGTGGCAGGGGAACCCGGAGCACCTGGAGGAAACCGGAGCACCTGTAGGGAACCGGAGGACCTGGAGGAAACCGAAGCACCTGGAGGAAGCCGGAGCACCTGGAGGAAACCGGAGCACCTGGAGGAAACCGGAGCACCTGGAGGAAGCCGGAGCACCTGGAGGACACCGGAGCACCTGGAGTAAACCGGAGCACCAAACCGGAGCACCTGGAGTAAACCGGAGCACCTGGAGGACACCGGAGCACCTGGAGGAAACCGGAGCACCTAGAGGAAGCCGGAGCACCTGGAGGAAACCGGAGCACCTGGAGGAAGCCGGAGCACCTGGAGGACACCGGAGCACCTGGAGGACACCGGAGCACCTGGAGGAAACCGGAGCACCTAGAGGAAGCCGGAGCACCTGGAGTAAACCGGAGCACCTGGAGGACACCGGAGCACCTGGAGGAAACCGGAGCACCTAGAGGAAACAAAACTACAAAAAAAACAGGAAATCAACCTAAACCATGACACTGTTCTATCAAAGGAGACACAAAGAGACGCGATCTATAAACTCTGTGCAGTGAGAGTGAACTGGTCCATTACAGACTGGAAACTTCTAAGTCTCTCACTCTGGTTTCTTTGCATCATTGATTCGTTGCAGATGCTCCTCTGTCCATCTTACACCTTCCAGGCCAACCACTCTAATAAATAATAATAATGCATCAGTTTTATACAGTGCTTTTTGGACACTCAAAGACATTATTCTTTCACTCCAAACACGGTGGTGATAAACTACTATTGTAGCCACAGCTGCCCTGGGGCACACTGACAGAAGCGAGGCAACCAGTCCCTCCCACTACCACCAACCGTTCACACACACACCAGACTCATTCTAATGTGGGGGAAGTGTCCTGCCTAAGGACACAACAGCAGTTTGGCACTTTACAGCCGCAGCCGCCCCACTCAGGTCGATCTGTGGGAGGTGGGATTCTACGCCCGCTCCGCCCTCTGAGCTCTCTCTTGTTATGCACCACGTCTAAAGAACATTGGCAGATTTGACCACTTATTTCTCCAAAACGACGCTGTGTTTGTGAGCCCGAAGCCCGTTCAGCCGTTCCATGCTCCCCCCTCTCCCCCCTCCCCCCTCTCCTCACCCAATTAGGCCTAATGGAGCGGCGGCCTGATGACGAGCGCCCGAGGGAACTAACACATTCAGAGCGTCCTGCAGCACGCTCCGCTGTGACCAGAGAACGGCCTCCGGGAACACACTGTTACTGCCACAAAAACATTATGATTATGATTGAAATACAGTAAATGTTCCCGAACTTCTACAAGCAGCAGTGAAACCAACAATAAGGTTGTTTTTAGTCCCTTTTAAGTCACTGAGAGGAGCCAATGACAGGTTGGAAAAGTCAAAGTCGGTCTGTCGCCGACAAAAACCCTCTGTCTCTGAGCTCCTCTGATATTAACATCATAAATACAGGTTCAGTATCATCCAGCCAACTTCAGCACACTCCATATTCCCATGTTATACCCCCTGTAAAGATCCCAATCTCTTGAATGTGGAATATGAATGTGTTTGGAATAACCTTTTGTATACAGCGTGAATGTAGCTGGTGAGAAGGTAAAGTCCAGCCAACTTCATCTCCGTCAAACGTGAATCAGTTTTATGTTTACCTGCAGATGATCCAATCAGAGAGCAGAATGAGGCCCTCATGGGTTGCCAGATAGTTTGGCGATGTAGCTGGTGAACTCACAGGGAAAGGAACTCAAATCCACTCGTTTCAATTGAGGTGACATCACTTCTATGCAAGAAAAGGCTATAATTCAAATGTTTTGAATGTTTTGTGGTGTATCATCCAAATTATGACCACACGTGTGCTTAGCATGGAACCTGAAACATGGAGAAGAGAGAAGTATGGGACCTTTAAGATGGTCTGCAGATATGACACAGATACAGAGGGTAACTGTAGAAACCTTAAAGGAAGCAAAAGCTCTGAGATATTGAGAATCCTCAGTTCTCAGCTTTACATGTTTTCCTTTTCTTCCAAAGAGTAAAGCAGGTAGTATCAGCGGCTCGTGTGCGGTGCTCCCGGTCCCTGTTTACGGCTGTCATGAAGTGTGCGGTGCTCCCGGTCCCTGTTTACTGCTGTCATGAAGTGTGCGGTGCTCTCGGTCCCTGTTTACTGCTGTCATGAAGTGTGCGGTGCTCCCGGTCCCTGTTTACGGCTGTCATGAAGTGTGCGGTGTTCCCGGTCCCTGTTTACTGCTGTCATGAAGTGTGCGGTGTTCCCGGTCCCTGTTTACTGCTGTCATGAAGTGTGCGGTGCTCCCGGTCCCTGTTTACTGCTGTCATGAAGTGTGCGGTGCTCCCGGTCCCTGTTTACTGCTGTCATGAAGTGTGCGGTGCTCCCGGTCCCTGTTTACGGCTGTCATGAAGTGTGCGGTGCTCCCGGTCCCTGTTTACTGCCGTCATGAAATGTGCGGTGCTCCCGGTCCCTGTTTACGGCTGTCATGAAGTGTGCGGTGCTCCCGGTCCCTGTTTACGGCTGTCATGAAGTGTGCGGTGTTCCCGGTCCCTGTTTACTGCTGTCATGAAGTGTGCGGTGCTCCCGGTCCCTGTTTACGGCTGTCATGAAGTGTGCGGTGTTCCCGGTCCCTGTTTACTGCTGTCATGAAGTGTGCGGTGCTCCCGGTCCCTGTTTACTGCTGTCATGAAGTGTGCGGTGCTCCCGGTCCCTGTTTACGGCTGTCATGAAGTGTGCGGTGAGACGCAGCAGTGACATCACGACACGTTAACCCACCGCGGCACCATTTCCCACAGTACCACACCAAACAAAAGACTATAATTAAAGTCAGTCTGACTGTTTCACAGCTCTCCTCTCCCTCTTTAGTCCAATCAGCTGTCAGCGCGCTCGGCTAATCACATCAGATCCTGTCATCACCGCGGGACAGTGGTGTGAGGTCATCATTAATCGACGGGGGGTCTACCTACTGCTCCGCCAATTAAAATGATTCAAACCATGTGAAGCAGGAAAAGGTTCTGATCTTGGATGTCTCTTACTTTCTTAAAGGGACAGTGCATACAGTATGTAGTGTTTTGGTGCCGGTTAGGCCTTATAATTCGTACATTTCTTTATATAAGGATGGGGAAGGAGATTATTAGATTATTTTCTTCTTCATCCTACTCTTTTCATGGTATTTCTGTTGTATTTGTTAGATTATTGTGATGTATTGTTTTATGACCATGACAAACATGGAACACAACATAACATATTATATAAAACAACATGCAATTACACTTTAGACAACAGAGCCTTATGCAGCTCCTCAGGCAGCTACAATCTGGAACAGTCTTCCTGAAAAAGTGAGGCCGTAATAACAGTAATATAAAGATTACTTATTTATTTAATATAAAAGTAACGTAATAACTTACTTTCTAAAGAAAGTAACTAAGGAAATAGGTTTTTAAAATAAGTAATGCGAAAAGTTTTTAAAGTAACTTCCCGAACACTGGCGACAACTGAAGGAGTTTTATCTTTTTAATGTACTGTGATTATTTATGATTTTAATTCCTTGTGTAAATGTTTGTATCTTGTTTTGTTCTTTTCAGTTGCCTTTTCTATGAAATGTGCTTTATAAATAAACTCTCCAAATGATGGAGCTAAGACCAGCTACATTTCACCAACAAACTGGCAACCCAAAGGAGAGGCTGCTGTTTGATTGATCTGCTTGGATCAAAACTCTCAATTAGGGTCAAATATGATTAATTTACAGTAAGATGAGCCAATATCCAGGACGCACTACAACAAAGCATCCCCTGTCAAAGTGAATTAACTTACAACATGTATTTAACGATTATTAAAACGTCATTTTCTGTGTTCATGTAAAAGGGATCTTTATAAAACACAGATCTGTCTCAGTCACAGATGCTCAAACTCTAAATGTGTTTCTCTGTGTTTTCTTCAGGCATGCGCATCCTGGTGAACCTCCTCCTGGACACGCTCCCCATGTTGGGAAACGTGCTGCTGCTCTGCTTCTTCGTCTTCTTCATCTTCGGCATCATCGGGGTGCAGCTGTGGGCGGGGCTTCTGAGGAACCGCTGCTACCCCGAGGTGAACTTCACCCTGTGAGTATGTCTCTGATTAGGAGACGGGAAAACCGCAGGGGTCCGCGGCTCGTCACGTTCCCACCGGAAATCTGCCTAATTCTGCGACTCCAAACATGACTCCCATCCAGCTGCACGCTTCATATTCATGGCTCTGCGTGGGGCCCGCACCTTCTGCACCGACCTGTTCTCCTGATGGGAAACTAAAGAGCACTTTCAGAATCAGATTATGTGTCGTTTGTAGTAAATAGAAAAGATAGAGAAAATGTATCCGTCCCACAGTGCGGAAAATTCAACGTTGCGGCCATAGACTGTAAATATTATCACCAATAAATCTGCTTTAAGCTTGGAACTGAAATATACCTCTTTGTTATGAGGCATTTAACCATCAACCTGCATCTCAACCATTTGGCAAAGGCCTATGATAATAAAGTGGTGTGTTAGTGGTGTCCTACATTCTAGAAAATCCAAAAGAGAAAACAATTGCACTGCTTTTGTCACCGAGTGAAGGTTAAAGGGTTAAAGTCATGTGCGTAGCTTTGGGTCAAGAGCCACTTTTTGGGACCATCCTATAAAGACATTTTTGAGAGGAAAGAAGACGCCATACAAAAGCATTGGGTAATTCTCTTTCCGGGTACACCCCCACCGAATGAGATTGCCCACACTGATTGCGCCGCAGATACAGGACAGTAGAATGGATCCAACCGGGATTCGAACCCAGGACCTTCTTGCTGAGAGGCGAGAGTGCTTGTGGAAAGAATATAAACCATGTGTGCTGTTCACGGTGAGGAAGTGAGTTGTGAGAGTTTCCATTGAGCTGCTTCAAGGAGAAGATTGAGGTCAAGAGGCTGAGAGTAAGTGGAGGATTCCCAAGGCTTTGACTGTGAAAGGAGTCTATACAGATACTTTATTATTTTCTTCTTCTTCTTCTTCCACCCCACAGAGACACGATTCCTCTTTTCCTCAATGTATTATTACTAATGGGGTTCACTGGGAGAGCTAAATATTGCAAGCCATGTAAAAGCAAACACAAAATATATGTACATGCAAAACTGTATGGGGAATACTGTGGTATATATACACATTGTTTTAAAGTAAGCCGGTTTGTCCATCTGAAGATAAATGTAGGCAATAAAGAAGGAAAATGTGTTTTCACTGAGACCATCCACAAAATGAATAATGTACTTTTAATTAGAAATATTCACAAACACAAGCACAGAGTCATCCAGAAGCTGTGGGAGATTCTAATCCGCAAGTTGTCCGCCTTGACAAATAAAAGTTAAAGTAATTTTCAAGAGGATTGGTCTTCCTTCGAGCAAACTGAGAATTCAGAGGAGCCGAGGAGGAGTCGTCTGCGACGTCAGAAGGAAGAGAAAGGAGTCAAACCTGCCTGAATATGACCAGGGAACACAGGTGTAGCATGATCAAACTCTTGTTATTTACACTTAAAGAAGTTATACCCGATTTATTTTCTAATGAGTTCATATAAATGCTTATTACTACAGACAAGTTGTATAGTAACCTGTAATGTAAAACGTGATCTCATTGATTCAGCTGTGTATGAATTAAAAAGTTCTGAGTAGAGACTTAGCGTGACGCCCGCTCTCCTCCAATCACAGAACAGGGCACGCCTCCTCTAGCCTCTACAGCGCTGCTAAACACAGTAGCATGTTAGCATAAGTGGCTATAACTCCTCTGGCTGTAACTGCAGACACAGCAAAACAGCTCAAACCACACAACAGTGAGGAAGAGAAGAGGAACTAAAGCCACAACATGATCAAAGAAGAAACCAAGCCCTGAACAGAGCTAGCTTACATCGTATCCTCTGGAGAGACTGGTCTGTGGGAGAGACCTGCGGGACCGCCTCGGACTATCTACGCTCGGACTATCTACGCTCGGACTATCTACGCTCGGACTATCTACGCTCGGACTATCTACGCTCGGACTATCTACGCTCGGACTATCTGCGCTCGGACTATCTGCGCTCTGACTATCTACGCTCGGACTATCTACGCTCGGACTATCTACGCTCGGACTATCTACGCTCGGACTATCTACGCTCGGACTATCTACGCTCGGACTATCTACGCTCGGACTATCTACGCTCGGACTATCTACGCTCGGACTATCTAACGTTAGCATACGTATCAGATCGCAAATAAAACTAGGTGGCTCCGTGGGATGAGAGCGTGGGGGAAATGAGAAGCCTGTGAGCGAGTTGGGGGCGGAGCTAAACATTGGGTATAGCTCCTTTAAATGGTCTTGAGCTTTTATCCGTGCTACAGGCAGAAAGAGGCAGGACAAGGACAGTGCTTCTTATACTGTACTCTCTGCAAAACATTAAAAAATAAACCAAATCTACCAAAACCGAGGGAGTAAAGGGGCCCAAACATAAAACTACAAATCGTGACACCCTGTCTGCTGTAGCCTGGCCTTATCCATCCGTAAACTCCGGACAATCATAATTTCCCTGCGTATACCGTCTGGGTCTGGTCCTAGTGGCTGCAGTTACATCGATTGAATCCCATCCGACCAATCAGAGAGCGTGGGAGGCGGGTGTTGTAGGTCGGTGTCGGTGAAGTCAAGAGTTTGCGCCGAATTGTCCAGTTGGAGTTTGGCAACGGAGGAGAATGCGACAGTAAAGTGTTCTGTTCTGGTTCTATCAAGAAATTGAAGCCGGAGCAAAAGGAATGTTAAAAATTGTGGCTCTACTCCCCACAGGCTCCGTTCATGGCAAAGAAGATGGCTAAAGCTAGGCTAAATGCAAACAACAGATTCGGGCGCACTACATACGTCACGGTAAACTCAGATCCAATGGTTTCAATCTGCAAAAGGAGTTAGCCCCTCCCACCTGTTAACGGAGTCAATGGAGACAATCCAGACCTTAGTATGAAATGTAATTTGTACTATGGTAAGACCAGGCTGGGTCCGCTGGAACATGGGGCCATAAACCCCTGTCCTTGTACTTCCTCCTTCACTCTGTGTGAACCCTGCAGCCTGTTTGTGTGCAGGTGTGTTCACAGCAGCAGGGGGCGCTGTTCCCTTCCCGCTGAGCTCTTTCTCTGCCTTTGATTTGAACCGTTGCCGGGATCCTCTCTCTGCTGGGACCCGTTATCTCTGGGTCCTTACGCTCCGACATGAGGCTGGCAGAGCTGGTCCACTGTAGATGCCTGTGTTTGTGGAATAAACCTTTTTACTCGTAAGCTAACACTAAAACACTTTACAGCTTATTCTGCAGTTGTGTTGGCAGTTACAGACTGTTGGCAGGCGGCCACGTTTGAGATATTAATCATGTTAGACTTTACAGAATAAACGGCTGAACAGAATGAGACATGATTTCATTGTCGTAGTAGTAGTAGTAGTAGTAGTAGTAGTATTTTTATTTGAGCAGTTTTATAATGTATTTTGTATTTTTTTACAAGCTCATATAATTCAATGAAGACGGCAGAAGCAATGGCTTATAAGTGCCTTCCCCATTATTAATAATTCATTTAAGAGGCTGCAAAAAGATCTACATTTTCAAATGACATTCTTGATTTTTACCTGATTTCATAATTTTTATCCTATTGATGTAAACAAAATAAAAAAACAGCAAGTGACAAGTTGCTGCTCAGATCGGTGTGAATACATGTTTTAAAGGCTGGGGCGACAAAAACAACATATTGAGACAAACCTCAGGTAGCGCTGTACTAATATATGTGATAATATATTAGCCCTGTACAAAATATTGTGTTTTAAGGCGTTAACACAAATCTGTATCAACGCCGTCATTTAATTTTATTGCACGATTTTTCTGTGGTCACTGCGTTAGAAAAACTACAGAAACCAGAAACAGGAACCAAAAATCCCGGAAATCGATGAGCAGCACTATTATTACTTAGTAAGTATATATAATTACTTACTATTATATATACACAATCTCATTAGTGGGTCAAAAATCATGATACAAAGTGAATCGTGAACCAGTGTATCATGACAGCCCTGACTTCAAGGCAGAGAAGCCAAAGTGGGTGTGACATCATCCATAGAGTTTGGAAGTCCCTGAAGTCTAGTCTGCAACCAGGACCAGGACCAGGACCAGGACCAGGACCAGGACCAGGTGGATTTCTGAGTGCCTTATTCGAGATGAGTCTAACAGCATCGACAACAGAAAAAGTCAATGTTGTATGCAACTGTGTGCAATATTCAGTCAGAAAGACATGTTAGTTGTAAATGATTGATTGTTCGTTGGTGATGACCCGCTTCTGACCCGCTTCTGACCCGCTCCTGACCCTCTCCTGACCCGCTCCTGACCTGCTCCTGACCCGCTCCTGACCCGCTCCTGACCCCCTCCTGACCCGCTCCTGACCCGCTCCTGACCCCCTCCTGACCCGCTCCTGACCCGCTCCTGACCCGCTCCTGACCTGCTCCTGACCCGCTCCTGACCTGCTCCTGACCCGCTCCTGACCCCCTCCTGACCCGCTCCTGACCTGCTCCTGACCCGCTCCTGACCCGCTCCTGACCCTCTCCTGACCCGCTCCTGACCTGCTCCTGACCCGCTCCTGACCCGCTCCTGACCCCCTCCTGACCCGCTTCTGACCCGCTCCTGACCTGCTCCTGACCCGCTCCTGACCCCCTCCTGACCCGCTCCTGACCCGCTCCTGACCTGCTCCTGACCCCCTCCTGACCCGCTCCTGACCTGCTCCTGACCCGCTCCTGACCTGCTCCTGACCCGCTCCTGACCCCCTCCTGACCCGCTCCTGACCTGCTCCTGACCCACTCCTGACCCGCTCCTGACCCCCTCCTGACCCGCTCCTGACCTGCTCCTGACCCGCTCCTGACCCGCTCCTGACCCTCTCCTGACCCGCTCCTGACCTGCTCCTGACCCGCTCCTGACCCGCTCCTGACCCCCTCCTGACCCGCTTCTGACCCGCTCCTGACCCGCTCCTGACCTGCTCCTGACCCGCTCCTGACCCGCTCCTGACCCGCTCCTGACCCGCTCCTGACCCGTTCCTGACCTGCTCCTGACCCGCTCCTGACCTGCTCCTGACCCGCTCCTGACCCGCTCCTGACCCGCTCCTGACCCGCTCCTGACCCGCTCCTGACCCGCTCCTGACCCGCTCCTGACCCGCTCCTGACCTGCTCCTGACCCGCTCCTGACCCGCTCCTGACCTGCTCCTGATCCCCTCCTGACCCGCTCCTGACCTGCTCCTGACCCGTTCCTGACCTGCTCCTGACCCGTTCTTGACCCGCTCCTGACCTGCTCCTGACCCCCTCCTGACCCGCTCCTGACCTGCTTCTGACCCGCTCCTGACCCGCTCCTGACCCGTTCCTGACCCGCTCCTGACCCGCTCCTGACCCGCTCCTGACCTGCTCCTGACCCCCTCCTGACCCGCTCCTGACCCGCTCCTGACCCGCTCCTGACCTGCTCCTGACCCGCTCCTGACCTGCTCCTGACCCGCTCCTGACCCCCTCCTGACCCGCTCCTGACCTGCTCCTGACCCGCTCCTGACCCGCTCCTGACCTGCTCCTGACCTGCTCCTGACCCGCTCCTGACCCCCTCCTGACCCGCTCCTGACCTGCTCCTGACCCGCTCCTGACCCGCTCCTGACCCCCTCCTGACCCGCTCCTGACCTGCTCCTGACCCGCTCCTGACCCGCTCCTGACCTGCTCCTGACCTGCTCCTGACCCCTCCTGACCCGCTCCTGACCCGCTCCTGACCCGCTCCTGACCCGCTCCTGACCTGCTCCTGACCCCCCCCCTCCCTGACCCGCTCCTGACCTCTCCTGCTCCTGACCCGCTCCTGACCCGCTCCTGACCCGCTCCTGACCTGCTCCTGACCTGCTCCTGACCCGCTCCTGACCCGCTCCTGACCCGCTCCTGACCTGCTCCTGACCTGCTCCTGACCCGCTCCTGACCCCCTCCTGACCCGCTCCTGACCTGCTCCTGACCCCCTCCTGACCCGCTCCTGACCCGCTCCTGACCCGCTCCTGACCCGCTCCTGACCTGCTCCTGACCCGCTCCTGACCCGCTCCTGACCTGCTCCTGACCCGCTCCTGACCTGCTCCTGACCTGCTCCTGACCCGCTCCTGACCCGCTCCTGACCCGCTCCTGACCCCCTCCTGACCCGCTCCTGACCCGCTCCTGACCCGCTCCAGAGGCTTCAGGCTCTGTCCACGGTTCAGTTTATGGTCAGGCCTCTTTAAGTTCATCCCCTAAAGTTTCTGACTGTAAACTGTTGATCTCTCTTCAGACGCTCCAGGGCTCGCTCTGGTCTTCACTGTTTCACACGCCGCACATTGACGATGAACAATAATCTATGTTGCTGCTGTGGAGATAATTTCGAAAGAGGATTTACTAATGTGCTGTTAGCCTGGCCTTATCCATCCGTACACTCCGCTCAACGTCTGGGTCTGGTCCCTGTGTTAGCGAATACAATCGGTCGTATTTCGACCAGCGCAGAAGGCGGGTGTTGTAGGTCGGTGCCGGTGACGTCAAGAGTTTGCGTCGATCGAGCAGGTTGTAGTTTGGCGAAAAATGCGATAGTAAAGTAATCCGGTCTGGTTCTATCAAGAAACTGAAGCCAGAGCAAGAGGAATGTTTAGCAAATGTAATCTCTGGAAAAAATTGTGGCGTTTCTCCCCACGGGCTCCGTTAGCGGCAAAGGAGATGGCTAAAGCTAGGTTAAACGCTAAAGCTAGGCTAAATGCTAAATGCTAACAACTCACTCGGGCTCATTACACACGTCACGGTAAACTCAGATCCAATGGTTTCAGTCTGCAAAAGGAGTTAGCCCCTCCCACCTGTTACGGAGTCAATGGAGACAATCCAGACCTTAGTATGAAATGTAATTTGTACTATGGTGTGGTACGACCAGGCTAATGTGCTGTTAAAGGTGCTCGCTTGTTCTGATGGAACCCACTCCCTGCTGGTCACAGACGCCATCGATGTATGTTGTACATTTCTCCAGTATCATATCTTAAAGTAGTGCTAGAATTTTATTTTACCAATTGCAGTTTTTGTAAGGTTAGAGCCATATACACATTTTGGGGGAAAAAAGAAAAGTGAAAAAAAAGAAGTTAGAAACATGCCCCTGACGTGTGACGGAGGTGAATGACATTCTGAATCCAAACACACGCCTCCTCTGTGCTACACTGGACACTTGTACAGGGCTTTTCACACAATTGCATTCCATAAAGAACTTAAAAAACTATGTGATTGATTGATTTGATTGATAAGGGCTCCTCCTCCAAACTAATACAAGATAAGAAGTAAGTTTTTATTTATATACCGCCTTTTCACTGCAGATCTGAGTCTCAAAGCGGTTTACAATTGTTAATTTTGGGCATTTGTCTCTCACTCCACACAGAGATGGGAGCGGGGCCAGTACAGGAGGCACATGCCAGAACTATTGGACAAATTTTTAGATATAAGAAAAGCTTTATTGATCTCACAATGGAAACATGTACAAATAAATCTGTTTCCCCCCCTCAGCTCGGCCGGCCTGACCCTCCCCGCTCCTTACTACCGCCCGGAGGAGGATGACGAGCGGCCCTTCATCTGCTCGCTGGCCACAGAGAACGGGATCATGTCGTGTAAGGACGTGCCGGCTCGGAGAGAGGGCGGCCGCACCTGCTGCTTGGACAAAGAGGACGCTCTGCACCGGCACGCGCTGGGCCTGAACCCGGACCCTTCCTTCAACGGCAGCGCGGGGGAGGCCCTGGGACTCTGCATCAACTGGAACCGATACTACACGCGCTGCCACACCGGCCACGTCAACCCGCACAAGGGCGCCATCAACTTCGACAACATCGTCTACGCCTGGATTGTTATTTTTCAGGTGCGCATTTAAAGCTGGAGTACCTAACTTACAGAATACATGTAGTTAGTTCTGATGGTACAGATCAGACCAGAGTCGCAAAGAGCTTTACACTTGTGGGCTTTTGTCTCTCAGTACAAACAGAGATGGGAGTGAGGTCGCCAATACAGGAGCCACATGTTTCTAGTGTTAGGGGAAACTGGAGCACCCGGAGGAAACCTACGCAGACACAGGGAGAACATGCAACTCCACTCAGAAAAGCCCTGTTCCGACCGGGATTCGAACCCAGAACCAGGACCTAAGTTCATTATGTCCTCTTTCATGTTTAATGCTTAGAAGGTTCTTTAAGTAAGACAAAAGTGTAAAGATGAAGCTAATTATGCGTAATGTTTTGGCGGTAGACGTCGTCAGACACACATGCACATAATGGACTGGAAAAGATACAAGAGGAGATTGAAATCAGGAAGTGGGGCGCACGGACCATCAACAGAGATGAGGGGGCCTTCACCTTGGCTCACACTTGGGACTCACTTCTCTAGAGACCACAGCATTTGTCACTTTTCTGTCAGGCCAAACATACTCAATGTGAAAACTAGGAATAGAACCAAAGAGAGTTGGATGGATTTGATAAAAGAGTTCTACTGCACCTGGTTTGAAAGTGAGGTACCCCAGATTTAAGTACAAACTCTGTGTCTTCAAAGTGGTTATACTTAAGAGTGTAGTGGGTTATACCAGCAATCAGCAAAATATTTCAATGTATTTTTCATCGGTAAAATAACCTCCAGTCAAACTTTAGTGCAGCCCTCACAAATTAACAGTTAAATAAGTGCTAATTAGTGCATAATGTAGGGTGAATTAGCTATGAATTGGTATCTATTAAGCAATTATTAGTCCGTATTCTACATGGCCTTATTCAACTACTAACTGAAACTTTCCAATGTGGTTGTTAGAGATAGTGTTAGGGTTTAGGGCCAGGGCTCATGCTCGGGTTAGGGTACACTAATTAGCACTTAATTAACTGTTAATTAGTGAGGGCTGATCTAAAGTGTAACTAATCTTCCTATTTAAATGAATGTGAGAAAGTTCTGTGTAATAATTCCACACCCCATGGTAAATAAGTCTGTGTTTGCAGGTGATCACTCTGGAGGGCTGGGTGGAGATCATGTATTATGTGATGGACGCACACTCCTTCTACAACTTCATCTACTTCATCCTGCTCATCATCGTAAGTACACACACTACTCATCGTCCTGGAAATGAGGAAGGAAAGTAAAAAACAATAATAATGCATCAGTTTCATACGCCGCTTTTTGTTTTGGACACTGGAGTCATGGTCCTGACCCAAACACAAACTGCCTCTGAGTGGTTTGGCCTGTAAGATGTAAGATGTAAGATGGACAGAGTAGCATCGGCAAAGAATCAATTATGCAAGAAAAACCAGACTGGAAACTAAGAATAAAGTATTTAATTTGCGGAACGCTAAAGTTTGGACAACATATGTGACCTGTCTCTCTCTACATTATTCCAGAAGTTCCTTATATACTCGTTACAAGCACCAGGGAGGGGTTGAAGCGTTACTTTAACTTATGTCCTTTTGGGGAAACCTGCCCAAGTTGCCCTAAGCTTCAGCCCTAGCCTGGCCGTACCACACCATCGTACTAATTTCATTTTATACTAAGGACTGGATTTGGTCCATTGACTCCGTTAACAGGTGGGAGGGGTTAACTTCTTTTGCAGAATGAAATCATTGGATCTGAGTTTACTGTGACGTATGTAATGAGCCAGAGTGAGTGAGGCATTTAGCATTTAGCCTAGCTTTAGCATGTAGCCTAGCTTTAGCCATCTCCTTTGCTGCTAACGGAGCCCGTGGGGAGTAGCGCCACAACATCTTTGCAGCAATGACATTCACTAAACATTCCTCTTGCTCCGACTTCAGTTTCTTGATATTTGGAGCTGAACCAGAACAGATTTCATTATTATCGCATTTGCCGCCAAAATACAACCAGCAAATTAGCCGCAAACTCTTGACATCACCGGCACGACCTACAACACCCGCCTCTCCCGCTCTCTGATTGGTCAGAGGGGATACAACCGGGGTAACCACAGACCCAGACGTACATTTAGGAAATGATAATGGACCGAAGTTTACGGATGGCTAAGGCCAGGCTTCTTCAGGACTTGTCTCTGTGTATTCTGAACTGCATATTGTGTACGGTGGACCCCTGTTATATCTGTATTTTTAACATTATCATCTGAAGAACTGAGAGTAGTTGTTCTGACCCACATTGTTACTACAGTATCTATATCTTAAGCATCATCAATCAGCTCCTGCATAGTGTTAGAAAGACAAGCTTAGTTTTAACCAACATTGCTTTTAAAAGTGTTCTAAGAGATCCAGATCCTGTTGATGAATGTCCATGTTTTTAATCCTGAAAAGTGTTTAGCTCCGTGATTCATCGCTGACAGACGCCACTTGATCTTTTCGTGAATTCCTTAGGCTCTGTGTTTACCTCTCAGACCTGACCTGACGTTCCAACGCACTAAAATACATTCTTACAGACGCTCAAAGACGCTCCACATGTCATCATTCATTCATTCTTTACATGGGAATAAACAAGACTTGTTCGGCAAGAAAAGTCCTCAGTGATTTCAGCCCAAATCTGCAGCTGTGGTCTGGTGCTGTCAATACATTGTTGGAGAATATTTACTGGAGGTTACTAAAGCTTCATCGACTCGTGAAAATCAATAGCAGCAAAAGAAAAGTGGCACAAAACATCAGAACAGGACGCAGAGGAGGCTATTGTGTGCTTTCAATACAGCCTTTTATAACAATAACAACACTTTTTCTCACGTCTCAAACCGATAGCTTTTATAGTAAATGAAAAACCAGTTCCTGTAAATTCCTGAGCCGCTTTGCCTGAACTGTACGATTAGATCTCCCCAGAACGACTCAATTATGTTATAGACTGAAAACAGAAAACAGCTTTATTTGACAATGGATTCTCACAACCACTAACAACAGATACATCTCAGAATATGTCAAAACTAAAGCTGTGGCCACACCGGACTCACTGACTTCAGAAGCGTCAGGTTTGCATTGAAAATGAATGTTGATGCACATCATGGGCACCGAGAGGCCCGGCATCACTTGGCAAAAGATGCGAGCATTACGCATGCGTCTCTTTTGGCGTAAAGTTGAGAAAAGCTGAGCTTTTCGAGCTTGACGTCAGGCGTCAACCAATCAGGAGACAAGGAGCAGCAGCAGGTCTGTCATGTAGCTGCTGCTTTGCTGTCATTATTGTTATTGTTAGCAATATTATCTGTAGTGACCTTCTTAATAAGTAAGAAACTAAATCAATGTACACATGTTATGAAGTCAAAGCAAAGGAAGGTTTCTCACCCATCATCTGTACTTCTTAGCAAGTTTTCCCGACGTTTCGTCCTCAAACTAGCGGACTTCTTCAGGGAATGAATTCGCGCGTTGGAGATTTATAACCTATGGGTGTGGTTAGCCACAGCCTAATCCTGATACTAACTCATAAACAATCTAAGGTCTGATGTAGAAGGGAGCAGGTCTAACGACCCTGCTGAGGCTAACGACCCTAACTCATTAGCATGTCACAGACCTATTGTCTGCTGGGATGCTCAAGTGGAGTGCAGGTCTCACCCCTCCTAACTCATTAGCAGTCGGTAGTAGGTCTGTGACATGCTAATGAGTTAGGGTCGTTAGCCTCAGCAGGGTCGTTAGACCTGCTCCCTTCTAGGCTGAGTTTACACGGAGACAATGTGGCAGTAAAACGGTATAGTTGGATGTCGGTTGCTACCAACCGTTCATACGAAGACTGTGTTCCAGGTGAAAACGTAAGTGTTCAGATCCAGCCTGCAGAGTGGGACAACTCAGATACGCTGCACAGCAGGGAGCTTTTTCACACCCGCGAGAGGGGAATAGGTGTGAAATCCCCCTCTGCTCTGACCCCCACCTCCCCGCTGCTCCCGCACGTAAATTTGGACATGCGCAGTAGCGGAGAACAAACATCAACAATAATGGCGCCGCCCACACAAACTAGCTACGTGGGCTTCCAGCGCGGGACAGAGGATAATTCTACTCCTTCGTTCGTCCAAACGAGACCACGCGAAGCTCTAGGTTCAGTTCCCATTTTCACAGCTGCTGTTAAAATGCAGAATGATGTTGGTACTTTCTGAGGGTCTGGCACAGGAAGTGAGTACACTGCCGAGAGGGGGGCTGGGCACGGGGCTCGGGGTCGTGTGTCGTGTTGTAAAGTTTCTCTGCCCCCTACTGGCCGGGCGCTAGAACTACATCGTTTTTCAACCTCATGTGAACGCTGAGAAATTTGCATTAGGAGCCAGGTCGTTTCTGTTAATAGCCTGGAAACGTCTGCGCAGCGTCTCAGTATAAACAGGGCCATCAAGCAGACCTTAGATTGTTTATGAGTTAGTATCAGGATTAGGGTGTGGCTAACCACACCCATAGGTTATAAATCTCCAACGCGCGGTCCGAGAATTCATTCCCTGAAGAAGTCCGCTAGGTTGAGGACGAAACGTCGGGAAAACTTGCTAAGAAGTACAGATGATGGGTGAGAAACCTTCCTTTGCTTTGACTAATCCCTGTACGACTGAGGGCTTACACAAACTTATGTTATGAAGTAAAAAATAATTCTTTTTTAAGTTCAGCAAACTGCTGGACAGCAGACTGATAGACAGGCGCTCCTCCGCAGGGATCGAGCGCCTGTAGTTGGTCTCCAGGCGGGAGCGAGGCGAGCTCCGATGCAGGTACTCAGACTGGGCAAGTGACATGCAGAAGTAGCGCTGAAATCGAAACTCATCCGTACGCAGCTCCTGGAGTAAAAGGTGAATCTCAGCAAACACTGCAGCCTCAAGTCTGTGGTGAACCCAGAACACGTTCTGTAGAAGCTAAGACGACGTTGTTTGGCTTTATATAACAACTAAAGGCTGCTCTCTGGAAATCCTCCATTGTCTCTGGACTCTACCGGAAACAGAGACGCTCCTCGGGCGCCAGGCACGTCAGGAGCGTCAGGAGCGTCAGGAGCGTCAGGAGCGTCAGGAGCGTCAGGAGCGTCAGGAGCGTCAGGAGTGTCAGGAGCGTCAGGAGCGTCAAGCGCCAAAATGACAAAAATAAATCAGCATCAAACGTGCGTCACGGGCGTTTTGAAGCTTTTGGTGTGAACACAGCTTAAGACATGTCTGTCTGGATGTGTGAACTGTCAAACACAAGAATACATTTAGTCTCTTTCCTGAAGCAAGGTTTGTCACTAACTATGACATGTTTTACTTTACTCCACACACATTCTGCATCATTTCATCTGATCTAAACTAGTCGATACAGGGCCAGGACCAGGCCAATAACCAGGACATATATTCACCGCAAACTTGAAAACGTCAGCTGTGTCAATACAATTTGGCAAAGTCGAACATTGGATTTGAACTGGGCTGGAGCATTTATCAACATTCTTCGCTGCTACTCTGACTCTCGGGGGCCGACAGGGAGCCTTCTCCAGCTGTGTACTTCCTCTTCCACCTTGTCTCACTTTGACTGCCCTCAGTTCTCTCTTCACAGCCAGCTCTCATCTTTGCTTTTTTATTTGAACTCTTGAAGTGAGACTGTGAGCTGTGAACGCCTCTCATCAGGAGCTAAAGGCAGGACTGAAGCTTCCTCTGTTTCCTATTAGCACTTGTCTCTCGCCGTGTCGCTGGGGACGGCTAGTTTTGGGGAGAGGAGTTATGGCGGTCAAATGAGAAGATAAAGGTTTATGCATCACTCAGTGGAAATTTCAATGTCGTAAGTTACAGCGAACATTACAGCAGAATAAAAACAGAATAAATAAGAGCACTCAGGTTATGGACTCATCAAACACAATCTATTCGACGGACAGCTTTATTGACCCAGAAATACATCATTCAAAAAGTTATTACATTTTTGAATTAATAAACAGTAATAAATTGAGTCATTGGAGGTCACAGCAGCAGAGATGGTGACGAGCTGCTTCCTCTGGCCGATGTTTGCAGAGTCTGCTCTGGTTCAGAGTGAAATTAGCATTCCTCCATCTGCTTGGTTCAGACCGGGCCTCCCTCGGCTCTGGTCTGGATCTGGTAGAACACTTTTAGTCCAGAAATGATGATAGTTCCAACCTAAACGCTTTCCTTACCTTAACCTAACAGAGGAATTACATGTTGTCAAGAGTAAAC